AAATGGTCAATATCAGTGATAGAACGTATGTAAATATAAAAGTGAACATTGAAGCCAACACCAGTTTCATACTAAACGTAATCGTCAGGCCATATATATATATATATATATATATATATATATATATATATATATATATATATATATGTGTGTGTGTGTGTGTGTGTGCAAAGAACTTATATATATATACATATATATATATATATATATATATATATATAAAAGTTCTTTTGTAGCACATATATGTTTTGATTTGTCATTTATATATATATATATATATATATATATATATATATAAAATAATTATTTAAAAATCATAGCATAAGTATATTATAAAATCACTACAAAAATAGCCATTTTGTTTCAATACGTCTTGTGTCTAGTCAAGTGATGGTGTTGCATGTGAAATAAAATACCTATTTTTGTAGTGATGTTATAACATATTTATGTTATAAGTTTTCAATAAATATTATTCGCTCTACTCTGTATTGAGCACATTTTTAAAAACAGTGTTTTTGGTCACTCGAAGTTTATTCCATCTATACCAAGATTGTATTCGAGATATATATATATATATATATATATATATATATATATATATATATATATATATATGTCGTACATGGTGGTAATAAAACAGTGCTCGATGTGATATAACAGAGCCATTAAGTATATATTAATAAATATACATATTATCCCTCACTGATAGCACTACTCGGAGTTTTATGCACAGAAAAATTTTCAGGTGCTTAGTGTAGACTGGCCCTTACCTAAATTAAATTTTAATAAAAAGTTAACGTAATGTTGGCACAGACCATATAATACGGGGAAAATTTTTTTTAATTTAAAAATATATTTTGCATTTAAAATGGACGGGATTTTTATTTACAATTTTTTTTTATATGTAAAAATAAAAATACTTTTTAAAGTTGTGAATATTTATTTTATATTAAAGCATAAAGGGAGATTACTGGCTTATTTGGCAATTTATTTTATAAAATTTTAGTTAAGTCCTAAGAAAGATAAAGGTTATAATTTACATTAACTATTAACCAGGATCAACGTATTTCAACGAATATTTATTTTTTTATATTTTTATGCCTACATGTAACCATCAATTCATTTCTCTTGTTTAATAAGCTTGGGTTATTTAAGCATTTTAATTTTTCTATAAGGCATAAATTACATCTATCGCCTTCCTTATTAAAAGATTTAGCTTTTGCTACAGTATCCCATGTAATAATGGGTATATTACCATCATTCTTTAATTCCCACAAATTTTTACAGGGAGCAGTGCTTTTCATGTATCTCAAATTGACTAAAGTCATTTGATTATGTGATCTGTCCCATAAACGGCTAATGTATGATTGATAATATTGTATACCGAGCTAGAATATATTTCGGTAACAATGTTAAATTTTATTTTGGTTCCACTGAGAATCCTTGGAAATTATGTTTCTATCATCACCGAATGACTTCAAGCAATGTAAGATACGTGAACAGCACTGCTCTCTCCAAACTTTTGTGTCAATTAAAGAATGATGGTAATACACCCATTATTACGTGGAGTGTTGTAGCAAAAGCCAAATCTTTTAATAGGAAAGGCGATAGATATAATTTATGCCTGATTGGAAAATTAGTTTAAAACACTTAAATAACCATAGTTTATTAAACAAGAAAAATGAACTGCCTGGTTAGGCATAAAAATAAATATCCGTTGATATACGTTGATCCAGATTAATATTCAATGTAAATTATAACTTTTCTCTTTCTTAGGTTTTAACTAAAATAAAAAAAAATGCCATTTAATCCAGTAATCTTCCTTTATGCTTAATATAAAATAAATGTTAACAACTTTAATTTTTTTGTATGTAGAATAAAATTCCGTCTGTTTTAAATGCAAAGTATACTTTTAAATTAAAAAGCTGTAATCCCCGTATTATATGGAATGTGTCAACATTACGTTAACCAGATATTTTTATTAAAATTTAAATTACGTAACGGTCAGTTTACACGAAGTACCTGAAGATTGCGTTGTGCAGGAATCCCTGAGTCGTGCTACCGGTGAGGGATGACGATATCAGCTGCTGAAAATAAGTGAATTCAGTCAAGCTCTGTGGGGAGAAAACGCGTATTTGTAAACAGTGACTATTACTGCTGATAATGCAAGACTCTTCAAATTGGATTGAGTTCTCTAGGTCACTGGCTTGTTTATGAAAAAATAAATACACAAAAATTCGCCAATCAAAATTCGGCTGTTTCTCTGCTGGGCGTCTATAGCCTAAGGGTTAGAATCTCCGACTGATACTAAATCGATTGGGTTTCGGTCCCGGGTTAAAGCGATCGGATGTCTAACGGCACTGAGGAGCTGTAATACAGCGAAACAGTCTGTCTGTAGATGTCTCTATATACAGACAAAAGATGTGTACAAATAATAACCTTACTTTTTTAATAATAATAAGATATATTAATAAACGTATACGAGCGTAGATCAATAAGTTTGTAACCTAACACAGAAGCTGAATTTTGATTTGAAATTTCCAGTGTCTAATGCTCGATCTATGTGATCCATGTAGGAAGATAAGATTAATTTCATAGATAAGGAAGGAGATTATGATACATTTTAATTCATTAGGCTACGCATCTCTTTACCTATGTGGCATACTTTTCAGTGTCGATATGTGCTAATAATTTTTATATTTGTTTCATACAATAATAATAATTATGTTTCATACAATAGCAATAGTATGTTTAATACAATAATAATAATTATTATATAGCGAGCACAAATGAAAATAAATCAATGTATCGATTTCAAATTCCGTTCACGCTTTCTGCTTGCATTTTTATTACTAAAACCCATCAGAAAATCATGAGCCTACTCTTCATTTTCTCTTATCCTGATTTAGATTTCATCGATGGCAAAAATGTGAAAATAAAATATCAATTCCCTTTCAGTATTTATCTGCTTAATCTACTCCAGACATGTGGCTTTTATTTCTAATGTTAGTCATGACAAACGGAGGAAAGTACAAGATTTTGAATTTATGGACTTTTAGTGTGTACGTTGCTCTCATGTGCATGCTAAAAGCTAGAGATAATCTTGTAACTTAGTGAGCAAATTTCTTATTAATGTTCATTTGCAGTTCGTTTGTAAATTTGTTTGGTGACTAGTTTTAAGAATTTAAACTTCAATAGTAAATATAACATTTGGTATTAAAGAGAAAACAGTTTTCGTTCTCATCTAAAGGAAAGGTTAAAATCTGGTTGAAATTCGTCGCGTATAGATTAATTTATTCGTTACAGGTTCCAAAGTCAATAGGCTGTATGGTCAATGCAACGCTTTGGCCTTCTGGCGAAAGCCTTCAGTATAAAATTTGCTTTATCCGAAGTACCGATGCATTATGGAAAATAAAGATTTGTCCTGACTTTTAATTTCCTTGAGAGGCCCTCTTTGTCCTGAAGGCATCAACCTACTCGCCTCGCTGTAAATCTAGTTTCCGAGAAGAACAAGGTCGTAATGCCAGAAGTCTTTCTTGGAGAAGCCTCTATGTAATTTGAAATGCGTAAAAAGAGACGCTTATTCGGACGAGTTTTCTATAGCCGGGACTATATAATTTACTCTTGGTTTCAAGATAAACTCTTTTTGCCTGACATCCAAAGAAGTTTTCTTGGAAATGTAGTTATTAAATTCTCTAGGCACTGAAGATTTTCGGAGTTGTTGACTGACCGTTCGTGGAAAAGCCTTTTAAAAAATAATTTCCACTTATTTAAAAGGATTGTATAAGGGATGCGTCTAGAGACAAAATATTTGCATAAAAATATAACAGAGACGCTGTTTCAATAAGAAAAAGAAAGAAAAAGAAGAAAGAGGCGATAACACTCTCGTGTATTTAACATCTGCTCCAATGAAATTAAAAAAACTTATTTCTTTCAATTTTTTCATTTGTATCTTCTTACTTCTTTAAATAATAACCAGCAGCCATACTTATGATATTGCATTATTTTGTTAAAGTTGCGAGGCTCAAATATTTAATGATGCAATAAGGGAATTTTTACGGATTTTTTTTTTATAAAACTCGCAAGGAGTTTATTCAGTAAATAAGAGTCATCAGAAAATTCAAATAGGAAAATCTTTCTTTTATTTGTCGTGTCTCTTCGGATCGTGAACGATCATGGTCCTCTACAACTTCCTATTCTTCGTATCTCTAGGCACTATCTATTCACTTACTATCTCTTTAAGTCTATGTTCAGCCTCATTGAGCTGATTTGCGCAAGCTCGTTAGGTAGATTATTGTCTCTCTGCCCTCTTGACTTAAGTCTGTCCCGTGAGTATCAAATTCTCCAAGCCCATTTTTTCATTGTGTGTTCCAGAAGTCTCAACTGTCACTTTTTGATTATAATTACATTTTTACTCATTTTCATTAAAAATTCGTCGTTGGTCATATGTTCTGTCCATAAAATTCTTAGTATGCTTCTGTAGAACCACATTTCTGTTGCCTCAGCTCTCCTATGTATCTGTGAGAAAATTGTCCAGCATTCACACATATTTCAGATATCCTGGGTATGACGATAAACTACATACGCGTCCTGGGTAAGACGATCAACTACACCCAACAGCAAGGCCCCAGATCAGGAGGCTTTGAGGGACGTGGAACTACCTCTTAATTGCTGGTGTTCCCAGGTCCGCCCTCATCCGGTGTGGTAGCACCTGTTAGGGTCCCAGTTGTGGGCATATAGTTAACCCCCATTTTGGGGTTAAAACACTATGAAATAAATTTTTAAAGAAAAAATTATTACCAGCAATAAATTTTTTGAAAACATATTAACAGTAATACATTTTTGGAAAAAATATTACCGGCAATAAAAATCTTGCCGGCTTTAAATAACTCATTGTGGTTGATATACCGTAAAACAAAACGGACATATTTCAGCACTTTTTCTTTGTTTCTAATCAAATCTTCCCATCTCTTAACGCTTTGTATACTAATGTAAATAAGCAGGCTACCTATCTATCTATCTATCTATCTATCTATCTATCTATCTATCTATCTATCTATCTATCTATCTGCCTGTCGTTGAGCTAGACGTCTATTTTTATCTGTTATCTTACTTAGTTTACTTAGAAGAAAATGTGCGGGTAACGTGATGGATACCGGAGCGGAAAGTGAAATCAGCGATCTAAGTTCAAGTTCCGACCTACTCTGTTGCATTCAGTTTCGCACAAATTCCTTTAGGAAAGGCATGAATCTGTCTCTTATCACCCGATCTTTGGTTGAAATGGCTGGTAAATAGGATTATTTAACTTTTGGTGACAGCCACTCTATATATATATATGTGTGTGTGTGTGTGAGTGTGTGTGTGTGTGAGAGAGAGAGAGAGAGAGTGGGGGGGGGCAAAAGACAGAGACTGAAGACACACAGACAAAAGTGTAATTGGCAAAAATGCTTAAACGGAATTAACAAGGTTTCCAATAAACAATAGCCAAAGAAAGAAAAGAACAGGGCAAAATAATACTAAGCAATCAATATATGCAAGACAAAAGTAGGAAAAGCAACAGTGATGGGGCAGCAAGTTCACAAAGTAAGGAATTGTGTTAACACGCAAATGGTATACAGACAAGTGATTGTAGCGTTCTGACTTCAGGACAAGATAGGACAGAAAATATGGCGAATGAGAGCGAGAAGTTGCCCATTTTATTGCTTAGGAAGAAATCCCAGCATGCATCAGTATGATTTATCTATAACTTTGGGGAGGGAATGTTTTAAGCGATCATTCCTATACGAATGAAAACAACAATTTACATTCTCATTCCACTCTTCATCACAATATGTATCTGTTCCTTTCTATAGCTCGGAAGTTTGTGCGTGCGCACGCGCGTGTGTGGGTGTTCGGTTACAGAAGCTAAACATAAAGTTTCAGGGATCTGTAGTTTTGCATGGATGCCAGCAAGACTTTAAATATTCACAGAGACTATGTAAGGTTATCCGACCTCATCAAAGAGTACAAGATGTCATTTCTATTGCAATAAAGTATGAGGTATTGAATTGGCATGAAGATTTACAAGATTTTCACTTTTGACCTAAACTGCAGTGTTGATATTGTTGATGCAATATTCACACGCAAAAAAAAAAAATCCTTACAATTCAAATTATGTTTTGGCTTTAAAAAATAATGATGATGGATAAGTCGTAAAAAAACAAATCAATCATTTAATCCCAACAGGTTTAACGTAAATCTGGAGTGCTTATACATTCAAGAAATCTTATAAAGTTTTGCAATGAAGCACGAATAATTGTCAAGTACTATATCCCACATATTGTGGCAACTATTCTCGCTGAGGTATCCAATATGGTTGATGTATTCATAGCCACGATCTTCCTAATTCAAACAGATTTTCTTTGCGCATTAAAGGGATTTCAATTCTCAACTATCAACAAGGCGTAATAAGAATCGTTCAGTATCCTTGGACTCCACCTGGCTTCTCTTCCTATGACCAGTGGCTATCACTTCAAACAGGTTTTTTCATACTGGCATCTAATCGGAGAAACCGAGAAATATTGTATACTAAGAAGCCCTGTTAAAACTAAGCGCCTATATGATTTCCTTTGTTTTAGGCATCAGAATAATTTAGTACCCTTTCTTTCTCTCTCTCTCTCACACACACACAAACACATACACACACACACACATATATCGATTAGCACATCACGAAAAAACAAAATACAATTATCAACATACGACAAATACGAGAGGATAATGCCGAAATACTCTACATCATTCAATGCAAGGAAAGACTTAAAATCCTAGAAATAATAAAATAAATTAATTAATAAATAAAATAAATAAATTAATAAAATATCATTCGCAACATGAGATGGTATCTCCAAGTGCCTTTAATATATTTAATGTGCGTATATCTATCTATCTATCTATCTATCTATCTATCTATCTATATATATATATATATATATATATATATATATATATATATATTCCTCCAATAACCGTGACATATGACATGACGTCACCGTAGGCTATTTCAAACTTTCAGCTTTTCAAAGATTACCAGGATGGAGACAAAGAAATTCTGCCTACCACACAAATTACGAAAATGACTGAGACGGTCGAAAGTACTTGAACAGTTTATCCACATTTTTATCGCAATGCACAACATCTTATTCGAAAATTGGAAAGATACAATAAAAAATTAAAGACACGGACCCTATCGGTTCTTTTTAATCAAACTTGTTTGAATTAATACTTTCTACCTAAATAAATATACCTTATAGATATATATGTATTACGAACCTATATATACAGTTATTCTACAGCTTATCAACCAATTGCAGGTTATTTAAAGACAGAAATTTTTTGGGAAATAATAATGGTTTAGTAATACAAGTCTTACTAATTAACCCATAGCTGGCGGGATAAAAGGTGAATTCATACCTTTCCTAAGGATATTTGCGCGTAATTATATATATATATATATATATATATATATATATATATATATATATATATATATATATATATAATATATATATAGGAATGTGCAAGAATTACATAATGTTAGGGATTTTGTTAAGACGAACAATAATGCACTTTCTGTTATAACCATTGAGCTAGTTATACTTCTGCAATGGTGCATAATGGTGTATGTGTATTTATCTGTATATATAGGTACGAATAATTGTATGTTTTTAATTCCTATATTTCAGGAGATAAGCAGACAATCAGGACTGGCAGCAAACATGAATCAAACCCGGTGAAAAACATGGTGACCGAAAGTCTCTGAGATAAGCCTTCTCTCTCTCTCTCATCTTCTAACCTCTTCTTCTCACTGATCTATCACTATCTATCTATTTTTCCTGAGACTTTTCCTCTCATTTCCTTCTCTCCCTCCTCGCATCATCATCATCATCATCATCATCATCTCTCTCTCTCTCTCTTTAGTATTATCTGGCGACCTTTTGTCCAATAAACACGACCCAGAAGGCCACGTGATCGACAACAACGGAAGTAATGTATATTTCACTCTGTATTTTTGGTTTCCCGCGTGCGAAACTCGGGGAGAGAAAAATAAACAGACAGACTCCGCCATGTCTATATTTAAAAGAAGTAGAGGCCAGTGTCATAAACAGAAGGACGTCGAGTCCAGCTTTGGACAAAGCAAGATAAACGGGACGTAATAAAAACACACAGAGGCAGACGAAGAGGTCGACTGCGTTTACGAAAAGCAGAAGACGTGGAGTAAGGTTTCAGTAAATCAACGAAACAGGCGAACTGCAAAATATTCTTCAATGTTTCTCATTTTGAAGTCCACACAAAGACAATAAAAATTAGTAATAGGCGAAAATTTGTCATGCGCTAAAACAGAATTCAGATAAATAAAGTTAGAATAAACTTAAAAACTGACGAGTGGTTAGAAAATATAATATTGTGAATGAAAAGAATCCGAATACAGATGACTGATGGTTCCTAAAAATTGAATGGTTAACTGTTTTGAAACTATCAATGGTGCTTTTGTCAGAGACAAATATATTGGAATCCATATATCTCATGGCTTATCTTGTAAAATCCGCGGTAAGCAATCAGAGAAACTTATCAGTTTTCGTGAGCAAAATGTGAGTAAAGCATTAATAGAAAACTTTTCAAAATTTTGAAAGGATTTTTAAAAGAAACGTTATATATAATAACGATTATGCAGGGCGTGGCAGTAATAACTCTCACGTATATTTCCCAGAAATACCACCCACATAATAATAAAACATTAAGACATTAGCTAGATGAAGACTCCATTTCCACTAATGTCTTACCATTATGTGCATGGTATTTCCGGGAGTTATATGGGGGAGATATTTCTGCCGTATTTTCTACTTCTACACTATGATCTGCACAAGAAAGGTGAAATATTGGAAAAACCTGGATGCATATTTACTATGATTGATGTAGCGATTAAAGTACTTTCTAAACATTTTAGTCTTAGTAAATTGTTTTCTCTTTTAATTGTTTTCTCTTTTAATTGTTCTTGATATATAAAAAATGTATATATCCTTTTTCCATATAGGGTGCGGCAGAAATATCACCCACATATACCTCCCAGAAATATCTCTTACATAATAATAAGGCATTAGCTAGATGAAGACACGATTGCCACTAATGTCTTATTATGTGGGAAATATTTCCGGGAGATATATGTAGGTGGTGTTTCTGCCGCGTCCTATATAAAGGAAATTTAACTAACTCTACTTGTTAGACCAACTTTGATAAAAACTCGGCGCTTATACAACGTGTGGTAAAATCGAATAGCTTGCAAGCCATGTGGGATAATTACCATACCATCATACCATTATGAAACCCCGTTTAAAAGTTCAGATTTGACTTCATAACTAATGAACTCTACCGACTTGTGTTAGTGGCATGCGTATCTGTGTAGGTGAATTATATTTTTCAAGTGAAATAATTATCACCACTATTAATTGGAGAACTGGGTTAGATTAAACGGTAAGAACCTGCTTCATTTTAGACAGAATTGAAAACCTGGGTTTGAAACCCAATCGTTGAATTTGGCTGCACACGCATCATCATTGTACCAACTGAGCCAAGTTACGATATTAAACGTAGCTTTCAGTGCACTCGATGTTTTCATTCCCTAACTCTATTATTTTAGCCTAGGAATAATGAAAAGAGTAGCTTATACAATGAAACTTGGGTTTAGATCTATCAAAGGTTTATACTGAAATGTTAGCAAAAGCAGCAATGACGTTTCGTTATTTGTAACAAGAGATTTAGATTTATCGGTTTTGCTGCTTGAATCAACAATCGCAACTTTTTATTGATATTGACATGCAATGGATGACATTACTGCTTGAAAACTCGAAACTCAGACATCTGATTGAAGAGCCGATGCTTTGTTTGGTATTCATACACGCCTATTTGATTAAAATTTGTTTTGCATGCGGTTCCGTTCATTTTTGGGAGTTATAGGTTAATACTTTCGGGTGGACCCTTGGACTGAGATAACCAAAGACAAGCGAATACACCCCCGCCAAGATGACTGTATATCCGTTGAAGTGGGTGGACCCCAGGTTAGGAAGACATCAAGGAAGGAGACGACCTATCAAAGGCCAGGAATGCATCCCAGAAAGAATTACGCGAAATGAAAGCGCAAAAATGACACAATCTGCGTCACAAAAACATTTCGTCCGCCTTAACGCGTGTGAAAACGTTAGTCTGATGTTTAACTGTATGGCACTTAGTGATTTGCATTTGATTCTGGAAATAATTTTCCTTCGCTGGTAATTTTTTTTCAAAAACTGTATAGCTGGCAATATGTTTTTTTTTTTTTTTTTTTAAATGTATTGCTGGTAATAATTTTTTTACAAAGTATTTCTGGTATTAAAACCTATTTTACACTATCATAGTGTTTTGACTCCAATTTGGGGGTTAACTATTTGCCCATAGAGAGATGTAGAGAAAAGTAATTATATGATCTGTCATTCTCTCTCTTTGGCACACACACACACACACACACACACACACACACACACACACACACACACACACACACACACACATATATATATATATATAGTTGCATAATACATTTTAGATGCATCAAGAGCGAACTTCATCGCCGATTTCGGGTTTTGCATCATATCGGTTCAAACAGCAACGCCGACCTGATTGGTGAGGCCGCTTCCTTGAAATCGTCATGCTACGCACCGCGAGACTGTAAAAAGCATTCCGACCTTGCTCGGATTTCGACCGTTCTTATTGACATATGTCCGTCAACCTCAGTATATTTTCAAATACATATTTATTTGTGCATGAAGGTACCTCTATGTATCTAAATCATAGGTATGTGTATCGGCATGTACAGAAAGTTTATAAAAAAATATCAAAATTCGTTCGAATGTAAATAACAAAAGGTCCATATTTTTTATTATATGCGACCTATTGTCTTCATCTTTGTTGTGATTATCACAACTTTTCGGCCATTGTGATAATAAGAAAGATGCGGACAACCGTCCGAATGTAAATAATGTAAATGATGACAAAACTTGATATAAGCAAATTACAGAAAAGCAACAAGGTCTGTTTTAAAATTTACAAAGAACAGTTTTATAATTGTTGTGACCACATAAATGGTTAAAGAAATAACAAAACAAGTGTTGCAAATATATCATATATTGAACAGTAAATACAACAGAAGACTATTACACGACTAGTGAGTGTGTGTCGGTTGACCCAGTGTTCAATCTATTCGACTGTTAATATTTAACAGCTCCCCCACGAGGGATGTATGTGGCACAAGGCCGAGTTTACCGTGGGTTCTCTGAGTCCGTAGGATCGACCAAAAATATTCCCTTAGAACCCGTATAAACGGGTTCAGGGCCTGTCTACCTCCCCAGACGAAACTTTGACCTTCGGCAAAGCCTCGTCCGGCTTCCTCTGTGCTCGAGGCAAAGAGTTCGACAGTTGAACGATCTAGGCGACAGTTCCCCCAAGGCTTTCTCTCCGACTAATCTTATAGTAGGCAGAGGAGTCCAACATAGACTCTTTAGAAGGAGGACACCACAACAATAATGCATTTAAACGAAATGTTAAGTGTATATTTGTTAATTTTCTTTAATCATTCTATCTTTCTTTCGCTATACCAGTAAATTCGATCCTCACCGGGCACTCTGTGAATCTGACTCTGTGTTAGAATTTGTTTTTTTTACATCAAATCAACCTTGATACAAAGCCATATACACGATGTGCCTAATATAAATTAAATATACAAGTGTAGAATAGACTGATGTCTCTATAGCCATGGATGGTAGCCAGTCTGAGAGAAGTCTGAATACCAAACCGTGGATAATTTAACGAAAAAATACTCCACTATATTTCCCAAGATGTCATGGCAATTAACACGTGTTAAAGGAAGCTCTCGAAAGCTAAGATCGCTTTTACGTCCGGCAGTGACATAACATTTAAAAATAAAAATATGTATACTTTTAATAAAAATAACAAAGACTGTATATCAAAAAGCAGAAACAAAAAATGGCCAGGCAGATTATTTCGAGAAGATAATGCTTTAGTGCAAGAAGTCTCTAATTGGTAATTGCTTTGTATTGCACAATATCAATAGAGCATTAATAATTTGTTGTAACCTAGAAAGGGCTACTGATTGAAAAATAACGAAAACAGAGGTTGGAAATGAAATGCTAATCTTTATAACATCAACAAAATACATTACTCGCCAGCGGTGTGGAGTAGGTAAACCACTGCTAGTGGTGGGCTACTTAGACAACATATTACCCCCCCCTTACAATAGTTTCCAAGGTATTTATGAGGATTAGGATATACCCATTAGTGTTCATAGGTACGGCATATAACATAATTTTGCAATCAAGTCTCCTGATGAGTGGGTGTAATTTCCACAAAACTAGAAAAATGTAGGAACAAAGTGAACGAATATTTATTTTATTTATTACTATGTCTACTAGATAGGCTTTCTTATAACAGTTGAAGGGATGGCAGCCAGGGGAAATATATACTTTTATGAATAAAGTCGTTATATAGATAATTTTTCATATGTTTAAGTATCTATCTATCTATCTATTGGTGTGTGTATGCAGAAAGAGATACAGACAGACAACTCTCTAATACATGGACACATGCATTGCGATTCCTGTGTGTAAATACAAGTATATGAATATGTACAAATATGTGTATTTGTTTGAAAAACGAAATTGATGCAAATTTGACGACCGAGAAAATTAACTGGTAAATGCGTATGAAAGGAAAAAAAGAGAATTAAAGAAAAAAGAGTGAAACGTCGAATGAAGACTAGATAAAAAAAAAAGAGTTGTTCAAGGCGAGAGTGAGAATGAGAGCAGAGATTAAGGGTGAGCAGAAATGGCGTGCAGGGTGAGATATAGGCGGAGGTCAGCAAAAGAGCAACAAGAATTTGTGAGACGAGGTGGGGACAGTATAGTGAAAGGTCAATTATGTTTAAAATTATTTTGCAATGTTCCGGAAATACAGACAGTCGTGATGAGTCGGCCATATCCTGCCATCTTCAGCGAACAGTCCCGACCCGAATCCCTTTTCTGAGATTAAGCTTCTAGAAACTTCGCACTGAGAAACAAAAATAAAAGATGGATTTTTCTTTAGGTAGGGAGAGGGATATCGAATGTGAGGCAGTAATACTAGAAGTGAGAGCGCGACCGGCTATTGTGTCTCTCCGCCTGCGTCATCACTTAATGTTCAGTTAATGATACTATGGTGCGACTCTGCCCACAGGAAGTACTTCCTCGGTTGGGCTTTCACAGACGTCGATGGCAAACTCTCAAAACTTTGTACTCACCACTATAACTACTAACTTGAAACGGGTGAGAAATTGGAGGCGCTACCCTTTTCTCCCATCTCCCCGATTTTTAACATCATCAACTCTAACAGTTCTCAAAGCATCAATATAAATTGTGATAGTTGATAGCATTTATAATACACTTAATAAAATTCTAGGCATAATCCAAGCAAATTCGATCCTACGATATAGGAAAAAAATAAATGAAGTCACGCAAGTAGTTTAAATTCTGACCATTGATATTTAATGCCGGCTTACCTTGCTGGTCATTAAGAAGTCTAATACTCTGAACTCACAATACCACTTCATAAACATATAATTTTACTTGCAGAAAGACAGGGTTTAAGCGAAGTAGTTGATCGGATTGACGTTCGAAAGTCTGGTGACTAAATATCATAATAGTTTGCCTTCATGGACGAAGATTAAATCGGGTTTCCAACATCTGGACACTCATTTGGTCTGAGAGGCCTGTGAGACCTACAAGGGAGAGGTAAACCTTCTCGTAACGGCCGAAGGTTTGGTAGCCAGGGAAAGTTACCATGTTATGTTGCTGTCTCTTTTATCTTACTCCACGCTTTGGTTTGAGTTTTCTTTTGTGTAGTATGACCATTTTTGAAGATGCATATTGGTCACGGTAGGCCAGCTAGGAAAGGGAGAAACAGATTTTCCTTCGATTATCTTTTCTAGGAATTATCTTTGTGTGGATCAAGTAGTGCTCTCCTACAGAGGACTGTTGGTCGCGGTAAGCCAACTAAGAACGTAGAGACAAACTTTTCTAGGCTCTCCTTTTCTGTCTGAAACAAGTAGTGTTCTCCTGACGAGGGCTACTGATCACAATTGGCCAGTAATGAAGGCAGAGACAAACTTTCTGCAGACCAGCTATTCCCGGAACACCTTTCTGTGTGGAACAAATAGTGTTCTCCTGGAGAGGGCTATTTGGTTGGGGTAGGCCAAATTTGAAATTAAAGACAAACTTTTTTTTCTGCCACTTTCTCTAGGATTCCTCTCTGTGTGGAACAAATAGTGTTCTTCTGGAGGGGGGGGGCTAATTGGTTGTCTATAGTGCTATTGAATGTTATTTTTTCGCATCTAGCGACTCTAGTTTAAACCAGACTCTAATTTAAAGAACAAAACAAAAATATCATTTTTTGTCCAAATTTCCAAGACAAAGTGTTCTCATTATTATACAGTGATTCTTTTGGAACAGTTTTCATGCATTTGTTGTCTGTGTTCCACGTGACATGTTCGCTATACACTGAAAATCACAGTGTAGTGTGGCCGAAATGCCATAAAGACGAATGGCAGTATAAGAATGAGAACAATTTACATTCCCTCGTAGAACAAATAAATATATTTTCGATATACCAAGAAGACTAACGAATATGATAAAAACTAAGAAAGGCCGGAGAGTACAAAAAACGTGGAAACTAGCATGAAAGAATTATACATAATTTAAAAAAACAAATGGCACCAAAAGCGTTGTCTTAATTGGTAAAAGCTTTATTTTGGTATTTAAAGAATTTACTTTCTTCTCGTTGCTTTGTTAGGGATGGCGTAATTGCTTAGAACTGGAAGAGCAACTACGATCGAAGTTGCTAAAAAGTTCTGGGTTCCACAAAGGACATTTTTTTTAGATTGTGATGTTTGGTTAGATGTTGGAATGTGTTATGGGCTGAAAACTTTTCAGTATAACCTCGAATTATCTTTGTGCAGTAGTTTCCAGTGTTTAGTATTGAACGATTAAATACATAGTGGAAAACTGTTTTTTTTCCTCTAGAAACATCTTCATCCACACACGAATTGCGACACAGTTCAATAAATTTGACCAAATAATCAAATATCAAATTTTGAGAAAAAAGTTTCAAATTCAGAAATCTTTAGCACTCCTCGTATGTGTGTATGTATATGTGTGTGTGTGTGTGTGTGTGTGTGTATTATTTAAATTTTTCTATATTTAAGAAGGGAGAGTGCTCAGTATCAGAGAGAGAGAGAGAGAGAGAGAGAGAGAGAGAGAGAGCAGATATTACCACCAGTGTGGATATAAGAATCGACACTCTATGGTGACTGGCACTTTCACACCTCAAATAATCTTGAAATCATCTTATATAAATAATTTGACGGCATATAAGACGCACTTTTTTACTAAAAAAAAAAAATTCCCCTGCATCTTATATGCCATATAAAATTCGCGATAGTTGGCCGAAATCAGCTACCTGGCAACTCTTATTAGCTTACATATTAGAGCAACTTTCATTTACCTATAGTCATTATTTAAAAGGCTATTATGCAAATTAAAAGTGTTATCATTGATAATATTCATTATATTAATTTCATCACGTTTAATTTTAGTACAACTAAATCAGGAGCAAAAAAATAAAATAACGTAAAACTGTATATGTTGTCTTTAGACCGTTCAGTCTTATTCAGTTAAAATATATCTGCGCCTGAATCAATTCTGTTCAGCAGGTCGAAAGATACATTATCTAAATAATTACTTAGTTTTGATATATATGGTAATTAAAATTCTGCTCTAAGAATGGACTTCTGTTCATTGGATATAGCTTCTTTTTTTTTTTTTATACCGAGAGTAATCTGTGCATTTATATACTTCTAAAATTTGCAAAGGTTTTGAGTGTGAGTCACAATACGTAAACAAGAGTTTGGGCAAAGGTCCCAAGGATTAACTTGAGTGTAGTGAGATTTTAATAAAGGGCGGAATGTCTGTTACGGAGTTAAGAATTGAAACAGAAATTACTCAACGCTTACTGAGACGAAATTTGATAAACTCTCCCTTGACTACCAAAACCTGACATAATCGCCTTCCTCAGAAGCGTAGAGTGGGTAGGAATTTCAAGCAAGTAAGATAAAGGGAAAACATAAAAACAGTAAAAAATACAAACATGAATAAAAAATAACGTAAAAATAAAGATAAATATCTACATAAATAAAGCAGAAAATAAAATGGGGGAAAGGGAGAGAGAGAGAGAGTTGGAGTGAAGGAAAAAGAAAGACTAAAAAAAAATAAAAGAGAGGTAAAGTTGGTAAAGTTCTTTAAGGGGTAAGTAAATTAGTGGATAAGTACATGTCAGAAAGGGAGTAGGTATGTTGGAAATTTGGTAGGTGGTTGTATCCCGCGAAATTCGTCCATTTTCATTCAAGATTCAGACAGATACCCTCGTGTCAGACTCTGGCTGTGAACGACCGAATCAGTTCCGTTCAACAACGAACGAAAGGTCACGGGGTCATATTTGCAGTTCTAAAAAACCAGCTAAACTTTTGGTTTTCTGGGACGATAAGCGTAATTTCTTTACTCTCTTTTGTTTCTCCACCTTTTCTTTTTTTCTCTCTCTCTTGTTTTTAATAATGGGCGCTGGTTGCAAGTTGAATATTTCAAGAATGGATTGAAGATTAGGAAAAGACTGACATGACGTCATCACATCAATCAACCTGCTCTTTACAGCCCTGCACTTATCTCTAATTCCTCAACTCTTATTTATTATGTTCCAGTTATACTTTATCCCAACACGATCTCTAACTTTCATAATCTATCTATCTATCTATCTATCTATCTATCTATCTATCTATCTATCTATCTGCCTACACACCTAACTTTTTTCCTATGAAGCGTATTGCACTGTTATGTAATATTAATCATCTTGTATGGCAGTGAAGCAAGAAAGACGTCTTAAGGAAGCTGGAAAAGGGATACTTATATTCAGCATCAGAAAGAGACAGCTGAAAATTCTTGTGCATATAATGCGGAAGGTGGGATTGGAGAGTGGCACTCACAGGTGCATATCGAGGGTAAGAGGGACAAAGGGAGGCAGTGGGACACCTAAACGATGAATGGGTGGTGGAACGATGTGCAAGAGATTTAGCAAAGGGACAGGAGCTTGTGGAGAACCATGATCACTCACGGCACTTAGAAGTAGACGAAACGTCAACATTCTTGACAAAATCATCAGCTGTGTAGGGTCGTTTTTTTTCTCTCTCAGTTACCGACTCACGGACATATCTGAATTTTCCTCTTCCTGTTCATCTCAATTTTTTCTCTTATTCTATCTCTTTACCTTTTTTTGTCTGACCTATATAGTTGATTAGCTTCTTCTTCATCATCATCATCATCATCTTCTTCTTCTTCTTCTTCTTCTTCTTCTTTCTAGACTTTTTCTCTTCTTTCTTTCTTGTTTCATCTTTTCCATTTTCTTTTCTTCTCTTTGAGCCAACCTTCTTATATTCTTTATTCCTTCTTTTCTAACTTATTGTTCTTTCTTTCTTTGTTATTTTAAGGTGACTTTTTAACGCATCGTCATCATGGGAACTGGTGTTAACATTTCGCTATACTCCACATTATTTTTGTTCGCCTATGAGTTTGTTCTTCTGCTTCGTCCATTGATATTGACAATGTGAAAAAACACAACGACATCCACTCACAGTCAAAGTAAACACAATTTGCGTTACTAAATAAATTCAACTGAAATCTACACCAAACCCTGTACAACGCTTACGCCAAACAAAATAGGTTATCTGGCTGCAATAAAGGTGAATCTATAAAGCTTTTACATCTGGTTGTACACTAAAAACTAGTAATCATTTATTTTTCATGAACTTGCAATTTTATACGACGTATGTCCGGAAGATATCCAGCGATTTAATAATAAGGAAAAATAGTCTGTTTCTAGAACTTCAAAGTACTGTGATCTAACATATTTATTCAGATACCGTTTTCATTTCTCAAAACAGCCTAAAAATTCCTCTTTCAGGACCGCAATCAGCTGTTGCGTCACATTCTCCTTAATCTCGTAAAAGTTGTGAAATCTCCTTTTTAATGACGAGTTTTGGAATAGACCAGAAGTTGTAAAAAAAACAGACTTAGACTGCAGGTATTGTGGGTGACAGACTAACGTGACGAGACAGCTTTTAAAAAAATGAAGTAATTCACTCCGCCAGAAATTTGGAACCGGTATGCTGTACTGTTTGGCATTCGCGCCCGAAGCTCCAATACGAACATTTCAGAGTATTTGGGTGTCAGTCTGAGGAAAGTGCAGAGGATTCGGAATGAGTTGGATGAGTCTAATGGTGATTACGAGTGATCACTAGTGATGGCGACGTTATGCCTCCATTCATCTTTCCCACAGGTCTTCAGACTCAACACAGAGACCTACATCAATTGCTTTGAGGAGGTAGTGCTGACCTGGGTCCAGAGGATGGAAAATCATATGACTAGCAATAGGACTTTGCACCATACCACACAAGCAGGAAAACTCAGTCATGGCCGTCAGGCAAGTTCTGGCACCACATCACCCCTTACATTTGGCCACCTAACTCCCTAGACTGCAATCCCCTCGATTATAATGTGTGGGGCGCAGTTGAGCGAGAGACCAACAAAACTCCTTGCAACACCCCTCCTATACATATAAACTACCCCTTATCGTAATTCTTTACCTCGAGTGACCCCCACCCCCGGGCTTGTACAGTATGAACCTTGCTGTAAAAAAAAAAAAATACCAAAGATGAACTTAAGGCATGGATTATGACAGCTTCCATCAGTTTAAACAAGGAGATCTTCCAGAAGAGCTGCAGGAGATTCCTAAGTCACTGGAGGCCGCAGTTGAAGCCAATGACAATTTTATTGAATAAAGTTATTCTTTCGTATTTCAAGACTTTTTTGTGTAATTTTGGTAAATACATATGTTAAGATGTCTGTGTTCTTTTCTTTTTTGCATAATTAAGACGGCAATTTATCCATCGCATCCTCTATTATGCAAAATAAATGTTTCTTTTCATCATTCGACTGGAAATTATTGCTGTACCTACGTGAATGGGCATAGGGAATACAGGAATCTCTTGATCAGTGCGGTTAAAAAAATCAATTTTCAATTACTATGGTTATACTGAAGAATGTTTTACCGCATTAATCGAGTATGCACTAATCGAATGCGCATTAATCGAGGGATATATATATGAACCACCCCTTATAGTAGCACATTCAGCCATATATAATCATACATGCACATGATTTTATATATATATTCATATAATTTTCTACAAATGCCCATGCACGCAACACATGCATATTATATATATATATATATATATATATATATATGCTTATTTATGTGCACCTACGCGTGCCTGCATGGGCACACAAACACAAACACACACACATGTATTTCTATTACTTCAAACTTTTTTAGTGGATACTCGTGTTTGAAATCGACGCCCCGTTTTTATTTATTTTAATCAATGTGTATTGTGTCTGCGCACTCGAGAAAAATTAATAAAGGAAAATGTGCTCTCCGAACTAATAAAAAATGTCGTACTCAAAATAAATCCATTATTTCTTTATATATATATATTGTACAGAAATGAAACTTTTTACACACACACACACAGAATATAGTGTACAGTGGGTGAGTGTAAAGATTGATTTCTGTATAGAAATATAAATAAAGCAAAACAGTTCAGTTGGTTAGCTGGCTTAAATAGATAAATGAAACAAAAGCGGAAATATACGCCAAGAGCAAAATTTGTACGGAAAGCATCAATCTGTACAAAGTGACCTTTAATGACAAAGGTGACCATTAGTCTAAACGGACTGCCTATTATTTTGCGCGAAATGTCCACAATGAAATTAGGGTCATGATTATTACATCCTGACGTTAGCGTTTTATTTATGCTTACTTGTCAACATTATACAAAAGATGACCATTAACAGAGAACATGTCAAATAATTTAGATACGCTGACTATTAGTACACATCGAATCTCTTTGGGCATTTGCAATCGACTGAAAACTTACTATTCGTTAATATCGTCACAAAATAATTACTGTTCGTTTCAGCTTTAAAAGTAAATAATTAAAAGGCAAGAAAATAGATATACGTGAAACAATGCACATACAAGAACAATGAACCTAATCGGCACAAAGCTTTGAACGGATAATTTCAAAATGATGCATATATAGTCAAATACAGAAAAATACGAATACATTGTTTAAACAAAATGTTCGTCATTATCTCTGACATATTTAGTTGGCATATCAGTAATCTTGAAGGTCGTTAATTTTTGAGTTAATTAGAGTTACTGTTGTTCTTAAAAAGAAGATTTACATATTTTAATTATCGATGACAATTCGGGTCTGTATCAAGATTAGCATGTACGTAAGTACTTAACTCCTCCTGCTACTCACTACCTTTACAAAAGCCAGATCAGACCGAAAATGGAGTACTGCTGTCACATATGTACAGGAGCTAGCCAGTCCTCACTTTTCAGTCTCGATAGTCCAATAGCGTCTCCGTGTCCTTGTGAGTGACGATTTGTTTTTCACCCTAGAATCCCTTTCTGACAGATGAGACGTCGCAAGCCTCTCGTCGCGCTATCGCTATTTCCATGGAAAGTGCTCAAATGAACTACATTGGTTAGTTCCACCGCTTCTAATCTTGACGACTAAGACTCGCCATGCTACGTCCCTTGTAGCAGACCTCTCTCAATCCTTTCGTATTCGATTGGTGAGATATAAGTTCCACTCAAACAGCTTCTTCCCACAAATTGATTTTTTGTGGAACCGACTTCCAAGAGGATGCTTCCCCGGTCCCTATAATCTTTATCTGTTCAAGTCTAGATCTAACCGTTATCTTTTCCATGTATCCACATAAACTGGGCCTCTTACTCTGTAACCCTCTATTTCGAGTGGCTCTTGGATCTTGTACAGGGTGAACATCATTGTAAAAAAATACAGCGTTATTGACATCATCTGACGTTGCGTTATTGACATCGTCGACATACGTGCCTGCAACAGAATAGCTGGTCAGATCGAATGCATTTATTTACATTTTTATAAATTGTCGGAAAATAAACAGTTTAGGGTTGAATTATACCTCCCATGTGCATAAATGATCAAATGAATTCTTCTTATAAATTAAAATCAGTCTCGGATTGAGGAATCGGAGAGCCGTGTTCGAATTCACTAATACCACTGGGAAAGGTATGAATCCTCTTATTCTCTCTCCACCCCCCCCCTTGGATGTGGGAAAAAATCTGCCTCGTCAGTCATGTATCGAAAGATACATGACTGCCTAAGCGTGTATCCCGAATGGCGCATAACTGACTGATTTTGGTACCAGCAAATATGATTCCTGCTTTTCGGTCAAATTTGATCTCCAAAAATTTAAATGTAATGCCAATCGTTATCTTTTGTCTTCCTGTTATTTTATTGTCCTCTTTAATGTTTTTTTCTCATATTCTTTCGCAGTAACCCTCTTGAACCGTAGTTGCTTAATTGCTTGGCTTAGGGTGAAACGATTTAAACAAAAAATATCTAGAAATTCTTAATAAAACCCAACGAAGAATCTGTGACGTTATTGGTTCTAACCTGGCATCTCGGCTTCAGTCACTGTCCCACCACTCTAACCTAGCAACCCTGTGATTTTTCTGCAAATATTCTCATGGTAATTATTCTGATTTGGTACCTCGACTTCAAGAACTTAAGCGCAGTACTAGATTGGCAGATTTGCCACATAATTTCACTATCGAAATCACAAGATATAGCCGTAAGTTCTATGCTAATAGTTTCTTGTCTCGTACTTCTCGCCTGCGGAACGCTCTTGC